AAATTTTGGTCATTACCCTCATATTTGGGGTAGGGTAGGCGAACATTTTGGGGTGTTCTCGCTAAAAGTCTTTAAACGCTGCAATTTTTTAAAAAATATTCTGGTATAACATAAACATAAACATTCTTAAGTTTTAAGTTTGTACAATGTTTGAAATTGTCATATATGTAACATCAAATAATATTGCCTACGCTACTAATGTTGATGTAGTTTGAGAAAGTTCACACAAAACAAAATTATTTAAAGCAACAAAGCATGTTAAACTATGCACGTGGAGTAGACTGGTTCTTAAAACAACTTTTTTTATAAATGACTGCTGGCACCCTCTGAATATGTTGTATAAAATAAAAAAATTCTGGATTTAAAAAATTTTAGAATAAAAATTATTTTAAGGGGTTGCTACCGACATTCAAACAGTACTTAACATTAGGTACATAACATAAGTACCTAACATTATTAAAAATTTTTTTTTTTCAAAAGTAGGTCATGTTAGGTCTCAAACAAGGTAAAATTGTATCAAAATTTCAAAAATAATATTCATTTTATAAAAAAACATTGATAAAAAAAATCTATAATAAAAAAAATCTTGTTAATTTCTCTATTAATCGTTTTTAGTTAAAAAATGTAGTTTTCTGTTCACTAAAATCTAAAATAAAAATTATAAAATGATTAATAAAAGTAATTATAAAATGAATAATATTTTTGAAATTTTTATATAATTTCGCTTCGTTTCAGACCCAACATGACATAGTTTTAAAAAACTTTTTTTTTTATAATATTTGGGACCTATTTAATGTTCGAAGATCAGTAGCAGCCCCTTAAAATATATTTTACTAAAAAAAATTTTAAGTTCAGCATTTTTTGTTATATACAGCATATTCAGGTTGTGCCAGCATTCATTTTCAAAAAAAATTGTTTTTAGAACCACCCTAATGTGGAGCAATACATTATTTAAGTAGAATTCTTTGAAATATTTGGATATATACCAAAATATGCCGTATTTTCTATGATTTCTATGCCGTAACTTCTATGATATATATGTGTGTATATGCTATTAGTATGTTGTGTGTATGCGCTGGTATGTGTGTGTATGAGCTGATAGTCTACGTATATTCACCAGCAGCCTACTTTCCAAAAGTCGTGCATTCTACTAAAGTCATTACAAAAAGTAAAGACGAAAACTATTATTTATGAGATACCAAGTATACTTTGGAGTATGAATAATTCTAATTTTAGCTATTTATCGCATAATGGTTTTTCTAAAATGAACTAAATGTTATAAAAAAATTATTGAAATCGAATACTATATAAAATATTGAATGTATTATTTTCAAAAAATGGATTATGTTGTTTTAAATAGCCAAGATATAAATAACCAAGCTCACAATAAAAAAGTAAAAAAAAAACTCTGTTTGGGAAAGTTATTTGATTGATTGCTACAATCAACGTAAAATTTGTGAAATTTCTAAACCAAGAAAATTTATCAGCTCTACCAGTTTAACGAAGGCTTACTGATAAAACTGGTTGATATATTCAAAAAAACAAACAAAAAACAACAACAACAAAATAAGAAAACATTAACTTTTTCTAACGATTTATTAACTTTTTTCTAACGATATCTTTATTTGTAATTAATTTAAATTAATGTAAGATAACTTCTTATTTTACTTAGATTTGTATAAAGATTGTAATAAAGAGAGAAAAAATAAATTTCCTTCATTAGGTATTATAACCTACCTGGTTATTTAGGTATTATAGCCTATCTGGTTATTTTATATAAATCAAAATCAATATAATTATAATGCCAAAATTTATTTTATAAATTTCTTATTTAAAAAGTAAATTATTAATATTATTCCAGCAATTAGGATTTCTGAAAGGGGGCTCCTTGATTTTTACTTTGTGAAACCCAAAACGTGCATATATATATATTATTTTTTTACTTTCTTGGCATAAAGTCATTTTCGTATTCATTTCAAGTTCCAACACTTTTTCTTCCTATCGAACTTAACACAACACACTTGATAACGATTAGTGTGTAAAGCAGTAACAAGAAAATTTAATTTTTTTAACAATTTAAAAAAGGGGTTTCCGGGTACCATGGAAATCCCCCTGATTGCGCTACTGTATTCGGATTTGAAAAAATGTTATAATATTTTTTATGTATACTTTCCAAAAAAGTAATTTATATATTTTTTTTCCTTTGATATAGTAAACAAATATAAATATAATAAAAACTTTTTTTATTTTGTTACACATTACACTTATTTTAATCTGTGTTATAAAATTACGTAATATCTGCGCGCTTTTCCGCCTTTTAATTTGTCAGGAAACGTTTTGCCAATTTTTGCAAACCATTTTCATTTGACATAAACATTGACAAATTTTAAATTACAGTTTGAAAAATTTTCTGAAGTCTCATATCTGAACCATGAAAAAATTCTACACCACTGATTAGCATATGAAAGATAATGATAATTTAGACTAAAGTAAAGTTTTTTTTGCAAGCAATAATCAAGAAAAGAGCGAGATATGTATCAAACGCCAAATGCAAACAATAATTTTAAATATCATTTCTTCATAAAAAATATCAATCTATTTGAACACCAAGTAACAAATACTAGAAAAATATATTTTTGCCGTTTTAATATTATATGGTTAAACTCTCGAGTCATTGATACAATAATACAAAAAATACACCGATTACTCATCTTTACCGAAATGAAACACTTTGTTTGTATGTTCAATAATAGCATGCTTAGTCGAGCAACGTTTTTAAAAACCTAATTAATTTTTATACAACAATTAAAAACGATTTTAAAATTATAAGTCTGACGGAAACTTTGTGTAAAATGCGATAAAACAAATTATGAATATGAATTAACCCATTACACATCAATTAACCCATCACGTGATTTTTTTTTCTTTTTGTTAAAAAATTACAAAAAAAGAAATTACAAAAATAAAAAAATATTGGTTGCAGCAAGAAGAAGAAAAGTTGTCTTCAATGCAACTGCCAAACTGCCCCGTTACTTTGGTGTTTTCAAACGTTTTTAAAAATTTATATTACTAATAAGCGATAAATAAGACAGTATAAGTACATACAAAAATTCAGCTATAAATTAAATTTTTGAATACAATCTTCCAGCGGAATAATTAAAAAATAATAGTAAAACAAGACAAAAGAGAGATAATCATAAAAGTTATCAATCATAAAAAATAGCATTATGTTTTATTAATATTAATATGCTTTGTTAAAAATAAAATAGTTGTTTATAATATAAATACTTTATACATACATATTATGTAACAAACATATTATGTTACAACAAATTATGTTACAAGTAGTGATTTTAAAAAATTTTGCTTCTTTTGAGTACCAAGTTAACATATTTTTAAATAATTTTTTTTTAAATAATATTAGGGACCTGTCAAATGTTTAGTGGCTTTGAGGGACCTTTAGGGCAAATAATAAAATTTAGTAAAAAATATTTTTGAACCACAATATGATAGTTGAATGGGAAAAACTTTAATTAGCTATGTTCTGAAAACAAATTAGCATACTGAACAGCCCTAATATATATATATATATGTATATATATATATATATATATATATATATATATATATATATATATATATATATATATATATATATATATATATATATATATATATATATATATATATATATATATATATATATATATATATATATATATATATATATATATATATATATATATATATATATATATATATATATATATATATATATATATATATATATATATATATATATATATATATATATATATATATATATATATATATATATATATATATATATATATATATATTTATATATTTATATATATATATATATATATATATATATATATATATATATATATATATATATATATATATATATATATATATATATATATATATATATATATATATATATATATATATATATATGTAGATATAGATATAGATATATAAATATATATATATATATTTATATATATATATATATATATATATATATATATATATATATATTGTATATGAATGTATATATATACATATATACAATATATATATATATATATATATATATATATATATATATATATATATATATATATATATATATATATATATATATTTATATATATATATATTGTATATAAATGTATATATATATATACATATATATACAATATATATATATATATATATATACGTAAAATATTAAATTGTTTATATAGGTTGTGATATTTCATTGGTTACATAGCTTTGTTTAAACGTAGATTTTTACAGACATCATAAGACTAAGTATAATCAATGATTCTTTTCTTTTAATAAAAAGTTTATAAATTACTAATTAATAAGTTCTATTACTTTACAAGGTACTAATAATAATATTAAGCATACATTCTTTTAATTTTATAAACAAGTTTCCTTTGGACTACATGCACCTTATTTGTTTAGGAGCTACCTGTAGAATTCTATATTTTTTTAAGGGTAGGATTAAAGGTTCCAATCATGGAAAAATTTCTTTAAATATGTTAGACTGAAATTCTAATGGTTTATTGCAACTCAATGGAAAGTTGCCAAGTGAATTTGCCAGACAGCCTAGGTCTCTTTCTGATTTAGATAGATGGAAAGCGACAGAGTTACGGTCTTTTTTATTATATTCTGGTATGATTGTATTAAAAGACATAGTTGATTTATGTACTTATAAACATTTTTTAAATCTATCAATTTCAGTACGGATTTTATGTGACAGTAATGCAGAATTTAGAAACTCAAATTTAGAGAATGCTTGTCGCCTAATTAAATACTTTGTCATAAACTCAACCGAAATATTTGGTCAACTATTTTGTGTTTACAACATACATAGTCTTCTGCATATATACGACGATATTGCGTTTTACAATACTCCGCTTGACAGTATATCTGCTTTTCCAATTGAAATTTCCTGCACCAGATTAAAAGATTAGTTAGATCTAAACATAATCCTTTAGCACAAGTATGCAAAAGGCTTGATGAAATGAAAATTTCCTGCACCAGATTAAAAGATTAGTTAGATCTAAACATAATCCTTTAGCACAAGTATGCAAAAGGCTTGATGAAATGGATCATCTTATTAAATTCAACCAAAAAATAAATTATAAAATTAATATTAACTTCAAGGATAGTTGCTTCTTAACCAAACATGGTGTCTTGTTGGTAAAAGCTAACTTTGGTAATGACAAATACTCTTGTTTCTATTATAGACATATGATAATCAATTGCACATAAGAGAAGGAAGTCCTGATATTACTGTGCAAAAGGTTACTGAATCGTCTTTATTTTCTTCAAGGTGTTTTGTACACCCTAAAAAGGATCCTAAGATAGTATCTACTCGGAAATATCAAGAAGATGATATTTCGAATTTAGAGGAGGATTTTGAATTTCAATCTACTTTTTTATCTGCATCAAATCAACATGATTCGTTTTTGCAACAAGTTCAAAAAAACACTCCAAGAGGAATTGCAGGAACTTATTGTTATGATGAACCACCTGCAAGTTTTAAAGCCATGGATGAAAGATGTATGTTAAAAAATTTTGAGCCTTGTTCAAATGTTTTTAAATTATAAATTTATTTCAATAAATTAACAGAATAATTCAATTGAGTTCTATAAAAATACGTAAAATAAATTTTACGCTAATTTTATGCTAATTTTATGCTAATTTTAAAAAGTTGATATTGATACTTAATATTGTAGGTCCGTCAACTTTAACAAATAGGTGGAAATTTAATATCAGCGTCAGTTAATAAGGTTTTGGACGAAACTATGACAAAAAGTGTCCAAGCTTTGTTTAACAAAGCAGGAAGATATGGAAAAAGATCGTTTCAAAAAACATTGTATAAAGCAATTATAGGTAATTTTTTATTCCATAATCCAATGATAACTACGTTTTAAAAATTGTTATATAAACTAAACATAATGTTTATACATATAATTCACCCTGAGTACTTTTGTAAAAGTTTGTGTATAATGTAACACTATTTGTATGTATGTTATAAAATGCATAAAAGATTTTTATGGTGTTTTATTTTTAGAAACATTGGTGTCACATTCGACAAAATTTGATTTGGTCGATAAGTTAATTGGCGATCATTTGAAGAGAGCTCCTGATAGATTAACTTAATAAGTTATTTTATTTCTTTTATGTATATTTACAATATGAATGAAAACAAAATAATTAAACTTTTAGAAATTTATTTCTTATAAAAGTCTTTGCGAATCCAGGCTAAATTTGCATTTGTTAAATAATTTTTTACATTCTATAACTAACTTGTATAAAAATTAGTATAAGTTTTTATTAACTAATGCGAAAAAAATCATTTCACGGAAAAAAACAAATTTGATTGAATAAAAATTTGTATAAGTTATTATTAACTAGGCAAAAAATAATAATTCTTGTATAACTTATTATTAAAAAAAAACCGTTATTATTAAAAGAAAACAAAGTTCCGTAAAATGTTAGGAAAAAATATATATTGAACCACTTTATGTGGACGCAATAAAAACCAATAAAAAACGTTTTTGTGAGACCCTTTCAAAACGTTCAAAAAACGTTTTAGAAAAACGTCCGGTCACCGTTTCATATGGACCTTTAAAAAACCAATAAAAAACGTTTTCACGGGACCTTTTAAAAACGTTTGCAAAACGTTCTTGTGCCCACTGGGCTCCAATAGCTTTTGCCAACTGGCTGCGGACGTAAAAGGAAATTTGATTCCAGCTGGCAGAAATTGTAAAAAACAATTTCACCTTTATTTTTAGTTAACGAGCCATCTCTCTATCTTTTTTTTTTTATTCTGTTATTTAGGTGCCTCAAGAAGACCTAACGGTCTTGTCACAGAACACCGCGGAAGTGCATTTAAATAGGAAGTTTACACCTCCTTCCTTACCGTGACGCAAAAATATGTCCATATATCTCCTGCTTTTAAAGCAAGCGCTCTAACTACTGCGCCAAGGCCGTCTAATCTAGATAATAGCTAGGATCAGATATTCAAAATTTGACATCAAATTTGCGTTTTATATGATTTATTGCAAAACTTTTAATTGTAATTTTTTTCTTCTTTAACTACCGAATAAATTAATATATATTCTACATATACATCTACATACAATACAATACATACAATAGCTTTTGCTCTCCAATAGCTTTTAATAAAAATAAAAATTAAATTAAAAATAATAATAATAATAATATTCTATTTTCAATATAAAAGTTAAAAATTGCTTCCATATTATAGACAAAAAAATAGGAGGACAAAAAAATTTGTAATATTTTATTGTCAGATTTTGATCAAAGTTTTTTTTAGTCAACATCCTAAATTTTTTATTTATTTAATAGTTTTAATTTATTTAATTAAACATTCACCGCAACGTTATAGTCTTATTTTTAATAAATAGATCTTGTAAATGCTATTGAAAAATATTTTTTAATATACATTAAAAATTTTTAATCACGTTGTATTTTGCTAATAGCGTGATATATTTCGACAAATTAAAACAAAAAACCTTTAAAACGTAACAATTCACCGTAACAATATACTCTTATTTTTAATAATTGTATATTGTAAAAGTTAAAAAAAATATCTTTTAATAATCATTAAAAATTTGCAACCACATATAGTGAGCCAGAATCTTTAAAAAAACAAATGTTGAAGTAAAAAAAAAAAATTATATATGCTTTAAATTAAAAAAACTGCCACTCAATATAGAAAAAACTAAGTAAGTTATATACTATTCTACTGTAATCAACAAATTAAAAAAATATCCTAAACCTACCAACAAATAATATAGAAAATATAACCATTGAAAGAGCTCTGAATACAAAGTTTTTTTTGGGTTCTAATTGATGAAAATATCTTCTGGGAACCCACATAAACTACGTTTAAAAAAAGTTTAAAACTTGTTTACTTTTCATTCATACATGGCAATCTCCAATACAGCATTGAGCAGTACTCACAAATCTAAATTAGAACCACTTTACTCAAGTCAAAAACACGCTTCTAGACTAGTGTACATCAAAAACAATTTTACTCAACCCTTACTGGAACAAATAAACGCACTAAATATATTTCAAATAAATATTTATCAAAATATACTTTTTTATGTTTAAATATAAAATAAGTCTGGTTCCAGAACTTTTTACAGCACACTTTTTTTATAAATATATAAATAAATAATTTTATTAATAAGTTCGTTGTTTAAAAAAAAAACACTCTCTAAAAATAAAGATAAAATCTACAATATTCAAATTAAACAACTATAAGGAATTTTTTAAATTTCTTATTCAAAGTTTTAATATAAAAATAACGAAAAACTTCCCTTTTTTATCTGTATTACACGTCTAGAAAAAAGTTACTTGAAGATAAGACTGACCTCAATATTCTGCGAGCTCCCTATAACTACAAACAAACAATTTTTTTATCAACTTTTATACAAATTTATTTTTTATCATGTTTATAAACAAATATTCTTTTGAAATGTGATGAATAAATATATAGTGAAACATCTTATCACACCTCCAAAAATTAGCAGGTTCATTTTTATTTGTTGTACTTTTTATTTTAATTGGAAAAGTATAGAGATATATTTCTCGGATTATTTTTATAACCTTCACATTATGATAATATAAAAGACTTATTTACGACTTAATTACGTCATAAAAAAAATTAAAAGGTTTTATAATGCTTTATTTGAAATCGGATCCATTCCCCCAATTAATAAACCAACTAGAATCACTCAATCAACAACATCTCTTATTGATAATATAACAACCAATGATTTATTTAATGAAACTATTTAAAAGGATATAATAAAAAATGATATCTCAGATCATTTTCCGATATTCTTTTCGATTAATGTTAATAATAAAATATTGCCACACCCAAACCAATATCACATTAAACGTATTTTTAATGAAGCAAATTTAACATCATTTAAGGAACAACTATCTTTACTACATTGGGAACATATTAATATTCTAGCTAATTCTAACTAACTTTTGATGAATTTGAATATGCTTTCAAAATGGTCAAACCTAACAAAGCCGTTTGCCATGATGATATCAATGGAAATATTATTATTAATTATAGGGATCGTTTTACTCATGCCAAGCCTATCCTAATTGACATGAATGTTTTTAGTATATGCGAGCTGAATATTTTCAATGTTCTTTGTTTTATGTATAAATGTAAAAACAGTTTATCTCCTGAACCCTTTCAAAATTTATTTACTTTGAAAGAAAAAAACAAATATATCTTTAGAAATGAACAAGCTATTCAACGACCAACTTACCATACAAATTTTGGAAAGTTTTGCATCTCTTTTTGTGGAGCTTTTCTGTGGAATAAAATAATTTCAAAAAATTTTGATATTTTTGAGAAATGTAGTTATCCCTCCTTTAAACAAAAACTAAAAAATATTATATTTTCAATTGATGGTATATCTAAGTGTTTTTTTTTAATTCTGATTTTAATTTTTCTTATTTTGTTTTTTCCAGAAAAATACTTTATTGTTAAAGTTATAATATATTGTAAACATATACTGTGTTCTTATGTATTAATTTTGTAAATTTTTCTGGAATAATGTTATATATAGTTTAGTGAAATATACTTCGTAAAATATATACATACATACATATACACATATATAAGTGTGCGTGTATGTATTTATGTATGTATGTATTTATGTGTGTATGTATGTAATATGTATTTATGTGTTTTATTTGTATATGTCTACGTGTTTACTTGTGTTCATATAAATGTTCTATATGCGCATATGATGTTATGCTGTCACAGTGTTATAAAATAGGTTCTAACCTTAACTTTCTGACCCGGGAAAACCCTTTGGCGGAATGATAGCCCTTACTATGGGGATCACTTAGATATAAGTATCAAAATCAGATTACAACGTCCTGGCAAGTTATTTACATTTGAATTTTCATCCTAGTTACACAAAACGTGTTTTAAACGTTTAATATACGTATTGATACGTATTAAAACGTATTATAAACGTGTTAAACACGTCTTGCGTTTAATAAAATACTTTATTGATTGCACAAATATGCAATATGAGCGCTTATTTTCCTTTTTGTAGTATTAAAAATCTCCAATTTACATAAATATAAACAAGGAAAGCAAAATAATATATTCTTGAAGTTATACAAGTAACAAACATAAAATATATTGATTGCACAAACATGCGGAATGACAGCTTATTTTGCATTTCTACATACCAAAACTATGATTAGTTTGTAAAAACTGCTTTAATTGATATATATCAATTACTAAAACAAAGAAAACAAACAGATTTCCTGCATTCTTGGTGGTTTTTAGCAGTATTTGGCATTTTCGGTAAAATTAGATGTGCTCAGTTTAGCTCTCATTAGTAAAGTAAAAACAACGTGCTTTTACCCAGAATTCAAAAGTAGAAATTTATTCCAAAATAATTTATGTCATAATTAAATACGTTTCATATATATGAAACGTATTTAATTATGATACGTTTATGTTTATACGATATGATAATTAAATACGTTTCATATATATGAAACGTATTTAATTATGACATAAATTATTTTGGAATAAATTTCTACTTTTGAATTCTGGGTAAAAGCACGTTGTTTTTACTTTACTAATGAGAGCTAAACTGAGCACATCTAATTTTACCGAAAATGCCAAATACTGCTAAAAACCACCAAGAATGCAGGAAATCTGTTTGTTTTCTTTGTTTTAGTAAAAGTCAACGAAAGCTAACATCAAATCTAAAAGAAAGATGTCAGATTATACTGAAAGAGAAAATCAACTTTAATGATGACAAAGTTCCACTTAAAATATGTGAAAAATGTCGCTCTTGTTTAAGAAGGAAGGAAAGTGGAGAAGACATCACACTCCCATCATTGTATAAGTTTGAGACTATAAAACTTCGACCAGAAACTCGAGACTCTCACTGTAACTGCTTGATCTGTTCAATTGGTAAACTGAGACACAATGGTCAAATGAAAATTGAATTCGCACAAAGTTCAGCAACTAGAACACCTTCTTTAACAGTAGAAAAAAGATGCTCAGACTGTTTTTCAATTATTGGTCGAGGATTGCCTCACAACTGCACAAAAGGCACTTTGAGAAATAATCTTGTTGCTGTAGTAACAAAGGATCCTTTGGCATCAGAAAGAATTGCAGCTCTTGTTGTTTCAAATAAAGCTCCTTCTCCACATGGAACTGTTCGATTAAGTCAACTTTATGGTGGAAGAATGCTTCCAGTAACACCAAGTATAAATTTTATATAGTTTTTTATAGTTCAAATTAATGATAAGTTAAATTTTTAACTTTTTGTATTCACTATAGGTTCGTCATCAGCTAGACAACTTTTCTCTTCAAATTCATCAATAAGTGTAAAAGACCTTGCTAAAGTTCAAGCAAACACAGGGCTTTCAAACAATGGCATTAAGAGGTTAGCAGCTACTATTAATCAGTCAACCTCACAACAGATTGTTGAAAAAAATTACGCCATAAAATTTGACAAATTCAGCAAGCAACTTGTACATCATTTCACAAGTTCATTAATTCAAGATCACGCTGGATGTGTGAGGACAGTCATACATTGCAAGAACTTCCATGAGCTTAAAAATGAAATTATAGCCATGAGAAGTACATCAAAAAATCACATTGTAAAGGTTGGAATTGACGGAGAAGGTGGGTTTCTGAAAGTTACCCTGGGAATTATTGAATTAAATCATGAACCTTGCATTCCCCCAGCAAAAATCAACTGCACAAGCAAGGTTTTTAAGGACACTGGTGTAAAACAACAACTAGTCATTGCTGTCTGTGAGGAGCTTCAAGAAAGTTATACTAACGTTTTGCAAGTATTTGAGTTGATTAAATTGAAAGACCAGGAGTTTGTCATGTCCTGTGATCTAAAACTTGCTAATATAATTTGTGGGCTTCAAGCACACTCAAGTGCACATCCCTGCACCTGGTGTGAATCTGGTTCAAAAGAACTTGTAAATCAAGGGAAATTGAGGACTTTTGAATCTCTGGAAAAAAATGTCTCACTCTTCAAGTCAGCTGGTTCCAATATTAGAAAAGCTCGTGACTATAAAAATGTTGTTCATTCTCCAATATTTAAACTACCTGGAGACACTTTGGTTTTGAATTTTCTTCCTCCCATGGAATTGCATCTCTTAATTGGAGTTTTTAATCATCTTTTTGCTGCGCTGCTTCAAGTTTTTCCTCGAGTAACTCTTTGGTCTGATGCATTACACATTAAACAACAACCTTACCATGGTGGACATTTTGCAGGAAATGAGTCCAGAAAGCTGCTACACAATATTGATATTCTTCAATCAATTGCTGAGAAACACTCATGCTATGCAGCCATCCCATTCATTGATGCTTTTCGAAAATTCAATGCGGTAGTATCTGGCTGTTTTGGGTGCAACCTTAATCCAAACTACCCACAAATAATTGAAGCATTCAGAGTGTCTTATCTGGCATTGCAAAATGTGTCTGTAACACCCAAGGTCCATGCAGTATTTTTTTATGTAAAAGATTTCATCGACAGATATGGCCAGGCTCTTGGGCTTTACTCAGAACAGGCAACAGAAGCAATGCATCACAACTTTCAGATACATTGGCAAAGGTACAAAAGACCCAATCATCATCCAGAATACAGTAAGAAGTTGCAATGTTGCATTGTTGACTTCAATACTAAACATTGTTTGTGAAAAGTCATTTTAAGAAGGGATTTGAGAATAAGTTGTTTTTGAATTTGTTCCATTTAAAAGAAACTTTTTTTCTGAATATATTTTATGTTTGTTACTTGTATAACTTCAAGAATATATTATTTTGCTTTCCTTGTTTATATTTATGTAAATTGGAGATTTTTAATACTACAAAAAGGAAAATAAGCGCTCATATTGCATATTTGTGCAATCAATAAAGTATTTTATTAAACGCAAGACGTGTTTAACACGTTTATAATACGTTTTAATACGTATCAATACGTATATTAAACGTTTAAAACACGTTTTGTGTTAACTAGGATGAAAATTCAAATGTAAATAACTTGCCAGGACGTTGTAATCTGATTTTGATACTTATATCTAAGTGATCCCCATAGTAAGGGCTATCATTCCGCCAAAGGGTTTTCCCGGGTCAGAAAGTTAAGGTTAGAACCTATTTTATAACACTGTGCTGTATGTTTATACACGTAAGTGACTAATATCACCTTCATAACTAACCTACTTGCCTAAAACGGCTGAAGTTGTTCAAAGTTGCTAGACGTGGGTCAAAGAAGAACTTTTACAAATCACCAAGTGGAAAATATTTATCATATGACAATAAAAATCTTTCAATTAAAATTTGACAAGACAATCGTGAATCAATACTCGACAAAGATAATCATGGTACTTAAAATTAAAATAAAAAAAAAAATAAAAAAAAAAAAGGATAAACTTAATCTATTCAATAATGTATTTACAAAGGTGTTTTACAATTGTTGGAGAAAATAATATTTTTGAAAAAAAAAAAGAAAAATTTATCACAAAAATTAAGACATACTGAAAAGAAGAAGTCGCATTTTATGAGTATATATCAACTTTTATTGACGCGTCAAACTTTTGCGGTTCTCATGACGAGACCTTCGAAGTCTTCTTTGAGTTTTCGCGTTCTTTATTTTTATTTAATTTCTCTCATTATTTTAAAATAATCTTTAATTGTAAACTTTTTAACTTTATAAATTTATATAAAAATTTTCATGTGATAAAGAACAAAAAAAAAAAAAAAAAAATGATATTGTTGTATTTGATATTTATTTTAATCATGCCTCGGAGCTGTATGCAACTATATTTTTATTTACCTCGTATATTTTGGACTTTATTTTTATGATATGCATATTTGCATATCTTTACCGCCAATCTGTGATTGGTTACTTATTAATACTTTGTAGTTGTACTTTGTTGTTATTTAGTTGCCATAGATACCTATATTGCTTAATAACCAGATACTATCCTTAGTTACACACAGATAATTGAATTTTTGAAATTTTTATCGGATTTTTAACCACCCTATTTAAAATAATTATTCAATATTTAGGTAATTAATTTTAGATAAAGGATTATGTCAGTAATAATAAAAAACAAAAAACACTACAATAAAACATCGACAATTTGAAATACATCAACAATTTATGCACAAAAGCCAGCATAATACATCATATTTTGTTTGCAAACGGCTGCATATGCGAGTGTAGCTTTCACGAAAACGCCTAAAATCTTTGCTTCGTGCTTCCTATGCTTCCTCAGAGAGTATACCATTAGGCAAGACCATTCTTCTCGCAACCTTATTTCCGTGTAGTAAGATCTTATGCAAACTTTGTGGCATGTAATACCATGGTTAGTTTTGTGCAAACAAATAAGCCACCTAAATAAGGTAAACAATTATGTAATTACAAAAACGTTAGCTACAACTTAGTATGGCAACAATAATAGTAATAAAACACTTTTTTCTACAATATAAATACAATTTTTATTTTAATTATTAACTTTTACAATATTTATGTATGTATTTATTTATCCATTAATTCACTTATTAAATACTTAGGTGGTACTAGTAGGTGAATTCGAATGTCAAATTACAAAAAGTAATACAATATACCTGCGAACGCAGTGTAAATGGAGAATGTTGTGGAATTTGTAGCTTATCTTTGATCTTTAAGACAAATTTTACAATTTTATAACTAATTTTTTTCTGTATTAAGTTAATAAAAAAACAAAAACATTTATAACTATTGACTTAATAATAATATTTTTGTCTTTTAATTAGTACATACCTCGTGGAAAGACTTTCATATTGAAAATATTTGTTTCACGTGCACACTACAAAAATATTTATTTTTGGAGAAGACAATTTTTTAGCTTAAACGGTTGCAAGCACGTCGGACAAAGGACTGACGCGTTCGACCTGCAATATAGCGCACGTAATAAACAGCTGATTTTCTGCACAGCCGGCTTTATGTAGTCCCAACATTACTGAAGCCAACCTGATAGTCCAAAATTACCGTGTCAAAACCTTTTTTTCCTTTATGACCATTGTATTTTGCTAAAAGTTTTGATAACTTACAACAAAAAATCATTAAAACGTTTAACGTGGTACACCAGGGAAAAAACTAAACTGTAAAGCATTGAATAAAATCTTTCCCTTTAATTAAACTTAAACAAGACCCCCCCTCTTACCTGTTGGGGGGGGGGGACAAACTGCTTTGTCCCCTTCCCCCCTGACAGGTAGGAGGGGGTACCGGGCGGCAGATAACTCTCAGCGGACCTGCCTGAATATACAACATAACGTTATAAACAAAGATGAAAATAGTAATGATAACTAATATCAGTAATACTAATATTAATAATAATAATAATGTTAATAATAATAATAATAATAAATATATGTAATTTTTTTTTGTTTTTTTTCGTTAAAATCTGGTATTCGGTATTTGGTTGAATAGTTTTCAGTATTTGACCGAATACAGAACAGTAAAATAATTTGTCGAATAGGCAGAACAATACCGAATAGTCACTGAATAGTTATGGATCTCTAGTGATTAGCGTTCTGGCTCAGAACCAGGATCAATGAGGATCAATGCAGGTTCCGGCCAGTTAAGCGACATTGCAAGAACCTGTGAATCTCTTGGTTAAATGCTCTTCCGCAGCGCTTTATGATAAGACTGTTAGACCTTATAGCATCTTAATAACAAAATATTCCACAGATTCCTCTTCAGCTTTTATTGTGATTTTGAACCATCTGCCGGTTAATGGTTCTTTTGAAAAATAATTTACGAAAAATGCAGAAAAGTATCTTGCATTAGATAAATATTAAACTTAAAAATCTACTACTTTATAATGCATACAATTTGCATATATATTTTCATATCCATCTATACTTGGGTAAATGGACAAATTATCCAAATTACTTTGCATCTTGTTTAAATTGATATAAAAATTCGACAATAAAGATCCAACCAATAGTTTTATATTTACTTTTTTTTTTGTTCTTTAATTTTTAATTTTTTTGTTTTTTAAGAATAAAAACTATCTAGGTTTAAACAATTGTTTTCAGATTTTTTATTTTGTTGCTTTAAAAGGCTAGTTTTGCAGTTCTATCTTTCTTGAAACTGTTTATATATTGTTAAAAAAAAAAGGTTTTTGTATGATTTTTGTTTTCATATTCAAAATTATTATTTTTTTCTCTTGAATTATTCGTCTATGAAAAGTATACCTTTTACAAGTTTTTTTTCTCTGTTCATTTAAATAGATATCAGTTAAGATTTATCACAAATATTTAATGTACTTCATTTGAATTGATAAATATTGTTTTTTTTTTTTTTTTTTTTTTTTGACTATGTAAACATTTGTTTTTAATAGAATCTTTTGGGTTTAATATATATTTAAAATAAAAAAGATTTTGGAAAAAAAAAAATGAACTTAAGAAAATTAAAAATAACATTCATAATTAGTTATAAAATCAAAAAACAACAGTTTTCTTGCGCTAGAATAAAAAATGTTACTAATAGTGTCACGGTGTTAGGTGTTACTGTCTGGCAAAAAAAAAAAAAAAAAAAAAAAAAAAAAAAAAAAAAAGCAGTTCAAATAAAAATATCTTAACGAATGATTACTAAATTGTTAAAAAACTTTTGCAATTTGAAAAGCAAAATCTCGATTTATATTTTGCCTGAAAGTATATATAGGCATTTTAAAAAGTAAAAAAAAATATATATATATATATATATATATATATATATATATATATATATATATATATATATATATATATATAATTAATATTATTTTTAAATTTTAGGAGTCTGAAATATTTTTTTAACGTTTGGGCATCAACTCCTACATCCTGTAGCGTAAATAGAATGTTTTGATGTCACAGATGACACTTTCAGACATTGCACAAACTCCAAATTTAATTATGTTTATGTTTGTGTCAACTGAAAATATTATTCAAAAAAATTGCGTTGAGTCTAGGAATAAAAGTACCCAAAACAGTTTTCTCCCTCTACCTCGAACATGAGGGTAATGAGTTATCAAAATGTTTATCTTAATTAATTATATGTAATCAAGTTTCATCGACATGTTTTCAAAGTGAAGAATACGTAAAGTTTTGAGCCTCCTTAAAATAAGGGGGTGTAAATTTTACATAGTCACAACATTGAAAATTAAAAGACTATAAGATGAATCTATTTCATCTCAATATTCAAAAAATCTACTAAAATACTTATAAGATTTTATATAAATGTTTGACAGCAAAGCCGTTCACAGAAACTAAACTTTTTTTTTTGTTTCAGTATATATTTTGCAAACTCATAGCTTTTTGCTTTATCAATCCAACTATTCATGCAAAGCACTCTCGCGCAACTAAAACACAATTGGGCAAAACCAAACCGCTGTAAACGATGGTATGCATCATACCTAATATACTTTATATATACTAAGTAGAGGTGTGCCGGATATTTTTGCCGGATAGGCCAGATAATGAACTTTTCTCATATTCTATAAGTGTTTATGAAGAAAAAACAAGTTTTGCCATTCTACATTAAAAAGTGCTTAAGATTTAAAAAAATAAAATCAATAAAAAAACTGGTATAACACAGGTATATGCATTAATTATGTATAAAGAAAAATCGTTTTTTATAGCCAAATTTTTTTTTTTATTACTATTTTTTATACTTCGTCAGCACATATCCCATGTCATACAGTTTTTCTCTTGATTTTTTAAAGTAAGATCTTGAATACTATTTATTGTTGACTGGCAAGACTTATTTTTTCTTTAGAAAAGTTCTATATCCGGCATATCCGGTATAATATCTGGTACACCTCTAATACTAAGTTTACATTTTTAATACTTTTTTATTAACCATTATTTTTATATTAACCATAAGTTGTCCAACTCAACTATTATTTGACAATTATGCATAAACAAATTGCGACTGTTTTTTGATAAAATAAGTTTTATATTTCAACGGGTTTTTTATTATTATTTTGTTATATATTTGCTAAAATGAACTTTATTTGCAATATTATCTAGAAGGGTATGAACCACTTTTTTGGATAAATTGTATAAATATGGGGAAAAAAGTTAAGTTTTGTAATTTAATGTATTATTCATTTAGACAAATATTTAAAAAAAAAAAAAAATGTAAATATTTGCTTAAAATAACGAATGTAAAAAAAAGAGAATAATATTTGAATTTACAATTCTCTATATTAACAACATTATTATTTTGTTAACTAAATTGTATTTTATTATAACGTTTTCTTGTTACAATATTCTATCGAGACTTGTTACAACAGTGCCATTATCAATACGAGATCTATAAAAGTAAAATTTGTTTTACGACGATAAAACATGGTATGTTTTTCTAAATGTAATTTAAAATATTGTTAGTTATTATTTTTTTTTTTTATTAAACTCTTTAAATCAAATAAATTTTATTAACGGAGAGACTCAGAGATCCTCAAAAATAAATATACCTTTATATAGTAAATTATATACCAAAATAAATCACAATAAATACATTATGAAGGACATGGCAAAATATTTAATACAAATTAACAAAAAAAAGTTGCATTAAATATTTGACGATTGACGCAATGTGCAAAGATAAAACTTTACTCATCCAACAATGTTGTCTCGACAATGTAAATATATAAGTAGATTGCACTTGGACTTTTATTTTTTAAATTTTACGTTGTATTTTTAGATTAGATTATATCTTTACGTTTTATGATGTATACGTCTGATTCGTTAATTCAAATTTTTGTAAGGTGTTAAGTTGAATAAAAAGCCTACAAGTACGCATACAGATTTTTTTTTGATATTTCAGATATGACATTTTTAAACATTGTAAAAACTCCATATATTAACATGTTTATGTTTTTGTGTAATGTTTTCCAAAAAATTGCGGTGATTGGAGCCTGGGAACAAAAATGCCCCGAAAAGTGTGTAGTTCCAATCCCAAATGTAAGGGCTATGAATCCATAAAATATTTTAGTTTACTATCTTATGATAAGTTGAACAACATTTTTTAAATTTTAATTCTATGTAACATTTGTAAAAAATACTTTTTGAGTAGACTTTAAAATAATTAGTATAAATATAATAAAATTAATATAATATAATAGTTGTAATAATTAATATATATATATATATATATATATATATATATATATATATATATATATATATATATATATATATATATATATATATATATATATATATATATATATATATATATATATATATATATATATATTATCAAGGCCGTCCGGAAGAGATTTTAAAGAGGGTGGGTGGGGTTGTGAAGTGGCGTATCTATTTTTTGCCGGTTAAGGTCAAAAAAAACTTTTTTCCCAACTGAGATCAAAAAAAAAAGGTCGCTGTTAGCTGACATTTGCCAACTGCCAATAATAGATTTTTGTCGTTAGAAGAGTAAACGGTAATTTGTATATTTGGCAGTGGCTTGGCTTTTTTGTTTTCAGAAGCGTAAACGGAAATTCGGTAATTTATAACCATCGTATCTAGGTCCTTTTGCACAACCTTTTAAACAATCTGGAAATGTATTATATTCAGTCTGGTAATGTGATTACATTGATTATATACAGTGATATATAGTAAATAATATATAGCGATTAATAAGGTTCAGTGATTATTTTCGACAAATTAGATTCAGTGAGCGTAAGAGATTTATCTAGAAAATTATGAACATTATTATTCGCATGAGTCAGCTATTCGGAAGACACAGTAATTTGACACCATAACAAAAGGAAAAAAACATTAAAAAAAAAAAAAAATAGCGGTTTCTCTGTGACAAGATCTGATGTCTTTGAGTATCCGCGTTCTTTATATTTATTTTTATACTTTATTTTTTAACGATATCTTGACTTGTTAACTTTTCTTTTTTTATATTATTTGTATTTGTATCATAAATAAAAAACAAAGAATCGAATTTTGCCGTCTCTGGTGTCCAATATGCCCACTAGAAAATTTATTTGGGTAGCACTACACCCCCCTCCCTCGGGACGGCTCTGTATATTATGCAACATTTGAGAAAAATTCTTTTTGTGTGGACCACAAAATAATGGAACATCAACAATTTAAGAGTCAAAGAGTTATGAACAAACACTTGATTATATAATTAAATATGTAACAAAAACTAATAATGAGCTATTTGAGCTTTATTAAGCATATGTATTAACTAATTTTATATATTAAATGGTGGGTGTGGTTGGCTCTATTGGGTAATATTTTGCTGTTTTTTTATTTTGACTTACTCCTAATATGACATTTTAACTCTTAAACGATATTTTAAGTTACTATTAATTTGAAATAAACTTTGATTTATAATAGATTTATTTTCTTTGATTTATAATAGGTTTATAAAATTAATTTTAGTACCCATTGTTATTTTGTTAATGGTTAAACCATCAACAAAAATTTACTACGGGGTAAAATGCAGTTTTTTTATTTATCTTCAAAGCTTACATTATTGGACTACCGCCCTATTAACATTCAACGATTCAGTCAAATTATTAATGGCTTCACAAACACGAAAACGTAGTAAGTTGGGTTCTTACCCAACCGGCACATCTAATTTCTTTTTCGGAATTAAAACCCGTATAGACACGTATTTGTTTTAAACACGCAACAGAAACCAAGCGTTTAAAGAAACCTAACATCAGGTAAACGAAACAATCGAACTTTTATGACTATTACCTTACAAGTGCAAACTGGCATAAGTGCATCAAAAGAATTTGCAAACATTGACGTAAGTGCAAACTGTCATAAGTGCAAATCAGTTGCAAAAATCGGCTCAAGTGTGAACAGGTATATGTGCGAACTTGTGTAATGACACCAAAAGAATTTGCAAACATTAGCATAAGTGCGAATTGGCATAAATTCAAACTGGCATAAGTGCGCCAAAAGAATTTATTAGCGTTGGCATAAGTGCGAACTGGCGCAAGTGCGAATTGGAATGAGTACGAAATGCCAATTTGCACTTATGTTAATATTTACAGTTTTATTTGGCGCACTTATGTCATTTGCACTTATGCTAGCTCGCACTTATGCCAGTTTATGTATCTGCTTCGCACTTATGCCAGTTCACACTTATGCCAGTTTTTGCAACGCTTTGCACTTTTTAAATTTGCGCTTATTTAACCTCCCGCAAAAATGTTTGTAATTGAATGTTATTTTCAGAATTACAAAATATTAACTACATTAAAATTTAATTTTTGAAGAAATGATAAAAAATAAAAATTTATGCTGAAATGAATTTTTTCGCAACAGTGAGTTGCGGAACAGTCACTTAATGAAAAACTTATGAAACACGTTATTATAGATATATTTAATTATACTTTATTAACCAAAAATGTTTTATGAATCATGTAACTAAGTTTTTTTTTATTTTATTCTTTATTTATATATTTGTTTAACACCCACTATACAAGTAATGTAAAAGTTTCGTTTAGGATTAACAAAATATTTCAGAGTTTGTTTTTTTCTTATTTCTTTTTTTCAAAGTTATTTGGTTATTGACAGCGCGTTTGTTGTTTACATAGGAGTATAGACGCTTAGGGTTCAGTTTGTCCTTTGCTTGCATTCAAAAGCTCTGTTCAAAAGTTGTGTTTAAAAAGCTCTAATTGCATTGCATCTTTTTTGACGAGGTTTTGAGTTAGGTTATACTCTATGACAAGAAGGACGATTCGCTATTTGCTGTTGCGGCTGAGGTACCAAAGATTTTTCTTACGTTTAATTAGTAAGAGAAGTTTGCTGGTTAGCCAAGGCTGCCTGTGTTTGATTGGCTTGGAGGTGGCTCGTGGGGTGAATTTGTTACAGCATTTGACATAGTTATCGCAGAAGATTTGATAGCATTTGTTGACATATCGGTCTTTAATTAGACTAACCGAGTAGTCTTCTCGTTTAGATTAACGTAGTTACCTTTCCTTTATATAAACTTTGGGCTATTAAAACGGGGAGAGTTGTAGATGTTTTTGGCTTGCTGGTGTTGCCAAGTCAGAGTACAGTGGCCTTGTTATGGCGCTACTAAAAAGAGGACCGATAGTACTGTGGCTTATTCCATTGGTTTCTTTGCTAATTACGAGGTTTAGTGTATTTTTAAACAGACCGTTGGCTTGGATAAAGATAGGATTGATTACGTGCTGATGTAGATGTAGGTTAAAAATGATTTCAGCAAATTTAGTGCCAAAACTAATTTCGGCGCCAGTGGTATTGGTTTAGTCGTCATGCCACATGACGTCGGGAAAGTTGAAGTCACCAGTGATTATTAGACCGTTAAACTTTTTGTTTTCTACGGCTGTTTTCGCATAGGATATTTTTACTATTTTATTAAAGGCCAGAGCATTATTGATAGGTGGGCAATAGATGCAGCCGATTAAGGAAAGATTCTTGTGGGAGTTCAAGTTCGAGCCAGATCAGTTATGAGAAATTGCATTGAAAACCGTTAATGCTGTTTTTGACATATATGGCTGCGCATCCTCCACAACTAAAGCAATCTTTTCTGAAGATATTGTAGTTGGAAAGAGCAGGTGCTGAGGATTTGTCAAATAAAGTTTTCTGTGATGAAAATGGTGTCTTAATTGTAGAGGGACGTTGCCAAGGCAATTTTGGTAAGTTTATTCGGATTTAGAGATGTAACGTTTGCGTAAAAAAAGTTTGGTAACAGTTTGAAAGCATTTTTTTGTGAAGTAGGAGAAGGCGAGCTGTTGACTATAGGAAAATGGTCTTGTGTTGAATGTTGTGACTGCTCACTGTTGGTTTGGGCTGCTACGATTTCTTTTTTTCAGTTGATAAACGGGAGTTGACAAAAGTGGAATATAGTTCGATTAACTTTATTATAATTGCATTACTACAAATACTGTTCCTGGAAAAATGAAAAAATATTTTTACTTCATTCATAAAACATATTTTTACTTCATTCTCACTCCAGCTTTATTTTGACTCTTTGAAGTAACAAATCTTAAAAAAATGTTTTCTTTACAAAAATATATGTATAGACTTATATATAGAAAATCGTTTACAAAAGAAATGCAAATAATGAATATATATGAAACCAATATTTACAAATGCTTAAATTTTATGTATTTATTACCTTATAAATCAGCTCGATAATATTGATAAAGAAATACTTTATTGATAAAATATATATATATATATGATTTAAATATTCTCTAAGAACAAACCAATAAAATACTTGTAAATTGCCAAGAATTAGTAAACAAGTACTTTCAATATGGGATAGTAGGGGACCCTTACCGCGGACTAAAACTTCCCAATTTTTTAGCACTGTCTGTTTTTATAAATACTTATTTTTAAAGAAATATTTCTTTGCAAGTTTATCTTTTATTATATTAACATAAAAATACTTAATAAAGAAAAAAAATAAAAACAGTACTTAAAAATTCACGTAAAATATTGAATTACGATTTAGGTTCTTCAAAGAAAAAAGATTTTGCTATTAACAGTAAGTTCATTATTTTCAATATTTCTATATTTTAATTTCTCATTTATTTTAAACTAAAAGATAAGTTTTTTTTAGATATGTGCCATTGGATTGATATTGGTGATCACACTTTCAACTGTTTTATCAAGAAAGGGCTAGTTAGTTAAATTCATTTATAATTTTATTACTTTAAGCAATAGCCTAACATTATCTCAGAGATATTTCACATATGCCCAACCCGTTGGCACTTTTTTTATTAATTTATTTTATCCTTAATTTCAGCGACATATCTTTGGTGTTAAAGGCAGTGTTCATTTTTTTTTATGGAACACAAATATTTTTCGGTGATTACCGCTTCTCGAGCCTTAAGTTTAACTTAATTGTTATTGTTCTTTATACAACTTGAAGGTTATTCTTCATTATATAACTTCGCTCTTGTAATATAAAATCTTTTTTTTTCATGCCATGGTTTAGTTTTGACAATATGGTTTAATATTTGACAATACTTCAAAACTTGCCAACTCAAATGCTAAATGCGCCAACTCAAATAGCTTTGAAGGATGGGGGGGGGGTACACCCCTACAACTTCCGCTTGGGACGGAATAGTATGAGATTTTTACTCCCATTATTTTTTTACTCCCCTAAAAAAATTTTATATGAAATTTGTGCCGCGGAGTAAAAAATGCGTATGAAATTTTTACTCCCTTTATGAGATTTTTACTCTCATTAGATATTTTTACCGTTATGTTAATATAGTGCTTAATTAATATATTTTATAAAAGTTAAGCTTTTAATAAACTTTTTTAACTTAATTTATTTTCTACATTTTAGTGGGAGTAAAATTTCTTATATTATTTTAAATAAACGGTGAAAATATAAATTTTACAGATAATCTTTTTTAAACTTAAAGATCATAGAATATGCAAGTACTTGTTTGATCAAAATGTGTACTTGTTTTATTAAAAAATGAAGGGGAATATCCAAAATTGTTTTATTTTACTATTAGGCTATGGTACTTGTTGCAAACTTGTTAGAAAAGGAGTTTTCTAAACAACAAGTTTACCTTGCTAACCTGCAGAATCTGAAAATCGCAGCTTTTTATTTCTTTCTGACTTTTTTTATTTAACAATTCACATCTGCAAAAAAAAAAAAAAAAATTTATCGTAGGTTACCCTATGTATCAGATAGGGTTAAGATTTTTTTTTTAATTAAACACATATTGTTATATAGGTTTATTTCTGGATTCTTTGCTTTCGCTTTACTAATGTGGAATCAGTCAGGCATATGAAAAAGTATTGCCACCAAATTTAAAAAGACAAACATTTTTATTCCTTCTCCTACATACCGTTGTAAATTCGCTTATTTTTACGTTTTTCAAACATTTGTTTACAGACTTAAAATAAAAATATATTTAAAAAATGTCTAAAAATTATGAAAAGAAGATAATTTATAAATTATTTTTTTTTTTGATAATATTTTACAACAGTACAACATTAAAGTGACTTGCAGTTGAATTGTCAAGGAATATAGCATGTTCACTAAGCTGTGTAAGTGTTAAACTACATGGGTAAGTCAGCCATTTCAACTTCTCTCCATATTTGCTATATACTTTTATATCAATACCCATGAACGAGGCACACCCAATTATTTCTGCATCAGTTGTCCAAGTTGTGTTATCACTCATACCACTTTCATTTAGATACGTTATTATTGATTGATTCATATATAAAGTCATTTCATTATTAATATAAGTACACATATGTTTAACAACTTTTTCTCTTATAATTTCATAACTGCATTCACTGCCTGTAATGATATACAATATTGCCCTAAAAAAGCAATTACCATCGCCTATGGTTTTGTGAATTTGTTTCGGACGTGAAAGTAGATTAATATCTGCAATAAAAATATTTTTGGTAATAACAATTCCAAATTTTTCAGAAATAGAAGTTCTCATTTCAATAGTTGCATATTTTCCGATCTTATCATTAGAAATTTGCATATTAATTTCATCAAATGTGATTTCTTGTTCATCATTAGTTATTTTTTCATTATATAAACATAACTTTGTCAAGTTGTACTTTGTTTTCAAAATTTGATTTAGATTTTTCAAAGTGCAGTTATTTGTGCTAGAAATAGAAGTTACAATGTATGGTCCAGTCCAAGGCTTTACAAGTTTACCACCTTTTCTATCATCACGTCTGCTATTTCTTAGTAACACTTTTTTATTTATGCTAATTTCATTATTTGGTGCAATTCTCTTGTCGTAATCATGTTTTTGTCTTTTTTGAGATTTTTCAATATTTTTATAAGCATCGTCAAAAATTTTATTCTTCATTTTATTCATTGCATGAAAGGTATCTGAAACTATTTTTTTGTTAGAGAAATCATCATTGCTAAGAGCGTTACTATCATTAAAGTCAATTAAATTGCAATCTATATCAATAGGAAGAACTGCTTCCCTTTGGTAAAGCAATGCAAACGGCGAAAACCCAGTAGATTTGTGCTTTCTAACTCTTAAAGAAAACAAAACACTATCAATAATGTATGGCCATTCCAAAGCAGCCTCATCAAGCACTTTTACTAATATACGTTTAATTGTTTGATTTTGTCTCTCTACTAATCCATTAGCTTGAGGATGATATGCACTTGTAATTCTTTGAATTGTTCCTGTTTTTGAGTAAAGTTCTTTAGAAATTTCATTTACAAACTCACGACCTTGGTCATTTATTTGAATTTCAAAACAGCCATGTCGACAAATCTGTTTATACAAAAAAAAAGCCACAGCTTTAGCAGTTTTATCGGTAAGTGCTTCTGCTTCAACCCATTTACTGAAGTAGTCGATTAATACAACCAGATATTTGCAACCGTTAACTTCTGGTAGCTGTGTTAAATCGATTCCTACCTGCTTCATATTGCCTTTAGGAATTAAAATATTTTGCAGCAATGGTTTCGACTGAAGTTTTCTGTTCTTTGACTTTTGGCATTGGTCACATTTGGAAACATAAGTTGTAATATCTTTTATCATTCCATACCAGAAAAATCTACTTTGAATGTGATAGGTTGTGTTATTAATACCTGTATGACCAGATAAAGCTTTAGACTCAACAGAGACATCGTTTCCTTCATGAACAAACTTTATTATGTTTTGTTGTTCATCTCTACTCCAAATAACTTTTCTCTATAAAAAAAAGAAGCTGTAAACCATCAATATAATGAGAATCAAAACTAAATTAATTTTCATTATCTATTAAATAAATTATTTGTAAATATTTGTGTTTATTTGGTGACTAGATTCTAGTTGCAAAATGGCAAAACTATTAAAACATTTTGAAATAATAGCATACCTTTGCAGCTTTATTTAAATGATATAACTCATTATTATCAACTATAAATGGCTTAGTTTGTCTTCTAAAATTGGCTTTATCGCCTTTATTTAAAACTTCTTTTGGATATATTTGGTATTTTAAGTAACTAAAAATGTCTGCAAATCTAGAGTGCATGTTTTATTGATATGCAATTCCGCTAATAACAACTTGAGAGTAAAAATAAAATAGTGAGAGTAAAAATCTCATATGCTTTTTTTTACTCCGCGGTAAAAACTTCAAACGATATTTTTACTGGGGAGTAAAAAAAACACGGGAGTAAAAATCTCATACTACAACGGCCCTGTACATACACACAAACACACACACACGCATGTATATATATATATATATATATATATATATATATATATATATATATATATATATATATATATATATATATATATATATATATATATATATATATATACATATATATATGTATATATATATATATATATATATATATATATATATATATATATATATATATATATATATATATATATATATATATATATATATATATATATATATATATATGTATATATATATGTATATATACCAATAAACATGTATATATACCGTTCTCTATTTTTGCAAATCTCTTATATGAAATGTTTTTTACGCTCTCCCATTTTTATGTTTTCCCAACTCACATAATCTACAATTTTTAAGGTCTTCTGTCAACTATTTTCTTTCTCTTTAAAAATATTCTTTGTAAAAAAACTTCCAAATCTAAATTTTAACAAAATTAAGGCAGCACAAACTTTTTGTCACCCCACTAACATGTTGAGAAACATTTGGAATTAAAATATTTTATTTTGGCACTCCCCTCCTTCCTAGAAATACTACCTGTATTTTAGAAAGTAGAAGGGAGGCTGTAAATGTATATATATATATATATATATATATATATATATATATATATATATATATATATATATATATATATATATATATATATATATATATATATATATATATATATATATATATATATATATATATATATATATATATATATATATAAGTTTAAACCACTTGTCTAGAACAATTGTTCCTTTGCTGATCTAATACATTTTTATAAGTGTGTTTTTATTTATTAATAGCAATGCTGCACTTAAATTGATTTAATTTTGAAGATAAATAAACCAATTTGTTAATAGTCTTTTTTATAAGAATGAAATTGTTGAGTTATTGAATTTTTTTTTAATTTTAAGGAATTTCTTCAAATTATTTCATAAGAAAAACTTAAAAATTTTAGAACATAAATCAAAGCGGTTAAAAATTTACAACGATTTTAATTTTCATAAAACGTTGACTTAATCGTAAAATCGTTAACGTTTTTCATAAAACGTTAACTTCATGCAGTTAAAAAAGTTATTTGAAATGAGAGGAATTGCTGAGTTTTTATAAACGAATATAATATTAAGTAATATACATTAAGGAAAAAAATGGAGTTTTTAAAATATCTGCAACATACTTTTTCCCATTACTTAAAATTACCCAAGGCGCGTTTAGTAACCCAATTTTTGTACTTTTGAGCACCAAGTCTCTTGTTAATCAAAGCTTATATTAGTATATTATAAATTTTTAAGAAAGAAAAACTATTTTTTTACTGCAAATATAGTTAAGTTATTTAAAACTCAATATTAGTCTAAAAATCATGTCTCAAAACCTCACTTGCTTTAAAAACGGTAAAATTTATCCTAACTTTGAGAAGAAAAAGATCAATGTGCCAACGAGCTATTGACATATAGTTTTTTGAAGATGGTTTATACACCTAT